TAAGGCCCCAGAATGACTTCAAAATCTGCGGAGAATGTTCATAGTCAGTTGTGCTTACTTTACTTTGTAACATATATAAATGTAGGAAAGGAAAAAAAGGAAATGCTGATAAGATAGCGAAGGTCACAAAGCACGGACCGACACCCTCAATGAGGCTTGCACCGCAACGTTTGGCGTATATTACGCACCGACCGTGATTATCAGTTTCCTTCTCTCGCCTTTGTATCTGTGAACATATGTGTGTATGTCTGCCCGTTTGTGAACAAAGGACACGTGGCACAGTGGATAAAGGCTTTAGTTAGATCCAGTGACAGGACCCAAAGAATGTGAGTTCAATACCCGGTTAAGGCGGTGAAGAACCTGGAGATAACTGATAACTGACATCCATTAGACATGGCACATGGAACTAGAACAGTCTACCCCAGCGAGCGAAATAAAGGGTTCAATTCGACTTTCCAACCAACTGAAGAAGGCCCGAGCATACAACGTCCGTCCGAAACGTTGCGATAAATATGGAAACAAAGATGAGGATGATAGTCCGAACAATGTAAATAGTGTACATGATACCTCATTTCAGAAATATAGGCAGATGATGATGATGCTGATGGTGCTGATTTGATTGATCTAAAACGCAGCAACTATTGCCGAATATTACATTAGTGAGAAGTTCCACTCGAACAGCTTTTTCTCGCGAATGACTGCTCTGTGGAGCCGACTTCAAAGAGGATGTTTCTCTGATCACTACAATATTAACCTGTTCAAATCTAGGGTTAACCTCTACTTCGAGTGGCTCTCGGGGCTTTTACAGAGCCAAACTTACTTTAAAAAAAAGTGAAAAAGTATTTAAAGAACAAAGCCCGACATGCATTTGTTTTATAATAACAAGACAAAGTGATGGATGTGAATTTTTTGTTACCACTTCTTAATTAAGAAACAACAGCTACTAAAAATAAAATTAAATGGACAAAGATATTCGCTGGATATGGGCGGTGCTTGTTAGAACTGTTTTGGGGATTTGATGGAGAGATGGTACACCAAATATTTTCTTGATTGTCGTTGAGCTCAAAGTTCCAACCACAACAGAAGCAGTTACAGTTTTTAAATACCAAAATATCTCTCTCTCTCTCTCTATATATATATATATATATATATATATATATATATATATATGTGTGTGTGTGTGTGTGTGTGTGTGTGTGTGTTTCTTTGTATTTGCTTATTTTTTTCAAAAACCTTCGCAGAGTTGTTTTTTGTCACTTTCTTTTCTGTCTTTAATCTTCTTCTTCTTCTTCTTATTCTTATTCTTCTTCTTATTATTATTATTATTATTATTTCTAGATTCTTTTTCCTTCTTTCTTTTTTGCTTTTTTTTTCTACTTTATACTCTTTTGATATTCTTACAGTTTTACGCTTGCTATAGTCTTTCCTAGTTTTCTTTTTTAAATTGTTTCCTTCTTTCTTTCCTTCACGCTTCTTCTAATTCCGCTTTCTTTTTTCGTTTCTATTTTTCTTATTAAATCCTTTTTCTTTCTTTCTTTCTTTCTTTCATTCATTCTTTCTATTTTTTTCTCTTTCTTACCATGTCAGTCTTTCTTTTATCTTCTGATACCTTGTTGTCATTTTTCGTGCTTCTGCTGGCCATCAAAATATTTCTACCTATTTCTTTTCTTTCTCTGACTTTTTATGCAAAACTCTATTCGTTTTTTTTTCTCCACGTTTTCTTAAATTTTATTATCAATAGGGAATTATCTTTATGTGCTTACGATATATTTACTATTGGCAAAGACATTTACGAAAATAAAGGTTTGACTGTCGCATAAATATATCACATATATCTGCAGGCATTCCTCATACCTCTTTCTATTTTACGATATTCAACTCGTCGACTGTGTCTTCCGAAACGTTGCCACATAACAAGTAAATATTTACCAACTTAAATATAAATGACAAATATTTACCTATGCTACACAATAGTTACAGACATTCTCTCTTTCACTGTCTGTCCATCTGTCTGTCTCTCTCACTATATATATATATATATATATATATATATACACACACACACACACACACACACACATATATATATATATATATATATATATATATATATATATATATATATAAAGAAAAAGACAATGATAAAACTATATGTAGTTTTAGTCGACGCGTTTCTTCCACTGAGGACTTTTTCAAGGCAAAAAAACGAAATGAATTTATTTGAATAAAGTATCTATAAACAAAAAACAAAATATTGTTAGTTACTAGAAGAATTTAGAAACTCTCATATATATTCACTGGGTCAACTGAAAAATTACGTTGTATACTTTTAATCTTTGAAGAGAATTTTTCATATGTAGAAATATTTTTTGGATTGTTGTGAAAACGGATTCAACAGTTTTCTTTTGATTTCTGGATATATTTGTTGTTCTATGTTGGCTTGGGAGAGAATTGATTCTGTTAAGAATGGTGAGATTGGGAAAAAAAACCGTGTCGAAGATATTTGGATAATATTCAATGGCGGCACTCTCTAGGATTTTCCTTCTGAGTGAAAAATCTTTTTATTTTATGAGTGAAGCATTTGATCTGATTATATCCATTAATTATTTTATAATATTGTTTGTTATTTTTTTTACTTTTATTTATTATTGATTACTTTGTTATTTGTTGTCGGTTTAGAAAAGTTCGTAACATACACAAATGAATTTACTGAAACCGCTGGACCTTCATCATCAGAAAAGGCAGCAAGGCTTCCAACACCAAAGTTTGCACTACACTGTAACTCGTTCGCTATGTGGAGGTCTTATATGAAACATTTTGAGACTGTGTGCCGCGTAGTAGTCGTAATACTGCTTATTAATACATCCAGACAGAGGAAGTTGGGCGTCGCAACTTTTAAAGAAAACATCATTTGCTGGTACATTCAGAAATATATAGCTACTCGAGGGGTGCTATAAAAATGGCGAAATATTTGTTCCAGGTAACATTACTACCTGCCTAACTTTATGAACACCGTTTGAACAACCGTGTAAAATTTGGCAGACTTCATTGCTGCACCTGTTGCAAAACAATAATTGAATCTTACAAATGTGCAAAAACTTGCACACTAATGGCAGATGCATAAAGTAAGAATTGAACAGTAAAGGTTGTAAGTTTTATATCCAGTCCAAGAACAATCATATGTACCTCGATATGAATTTCAAGAATTGGTAATTTGATAATATGTAAATATTTTCAATAATAAATAGTGCAGCTTAGATGTGGCACAAGGTCAAAATTTTGGGATACCCAGCGAGGATCGAATTCGTTACTCAGTCATAATTTTTCTAGCGAAACAAGAGTGCTAACCATTACACCACATCTAGGCTCCTTTTAAACAATAAATAATGATAGGATTAAAAAAAAAAAACGTCAAAAATTATACGAACGTTGCTTAACATATCAAATGCAGGTGAAACCTGCTTAATCAATGAAAATCAAGCAACACAAAAATAAAAAAAAACTGGCGGAATTTCTTCTTTTTTTCTTCATATCTCATTATCTGATGAAGCTTTACTGAAAGTGAAACATGTTAGATTGATAAATGATATTTGTTTTTTTATCTTATCGTTCTGTCGGATTCTAAATCCATATTTGATTTGTATTTGATCCCAATTCTTAATAAATAATATAGGAAAATCGGATTTCATTTTTATTTTAGTATTTTTGTATATCATACTTTCTGGAATGTTATTCACGACGACATATTTTTTAATTACTCGAGTGGAACAGGGTGCAGTGTAAAAATGTATGACAGCTAAGATGTTTACAGCAGTGACAACGGAGACGACAATCACATTGATGACGTCAATATTAAGCAAAAGAAAAGTGAGTGGAAGAAGAGGAAGTGAGGAAGGAGAATGTTTCCAACAGAAGAGGACACGGAGACGAAAGTGATGAAGAGACGAAGAGAATAGTGCTTCGAACTAAATTTAATTGTAAGAGGAAGAAGAGAGGGGGTCGAAACGGGGGGAAATGAGGAAATTATTCTTAGAAATATATGTGATGCGAAGAAGAAGAAGAAGAAGGAGTCGAAAGAGGAGGAGGTTACGAAGAAGATTATATTGAATAATATTTAATTGTATGGAGGAGAAGAACAAGAGAGGGTTCGAAAGGGTGAAGAAAAGAAGAATGATTCTTTGAATAATTCGTAATACTAAAAAGAGGAAGAATCATAAAGAAGAAAAGAGGGTATGGAAATAAGAGGAAGTAATGAAAAAGAATGATACCAATAATATGTGATGCTTAGAAGAAGAAGAAGAAGAAGAAGAAGAAGAAGAAGAAGAAAGAGGGGGTGAAAAGAAGAGGAAGCAATGAAGAATAATGCTTTGAATAATACTCAATAGCAAGAAGAGGAGACAAAAGGAGACAAAAGGAGGAAATGAAGAAGAATGAAGAAGAATAATGTGAAGAAGAAAGAGCTTAAGAAGAAGAAGAAGAAGAAGAAGAAGAAGAAGAAGAAGAAGAAGAAGAAGAAAAGAAGGTGAAAGAGAAGAGGAAGCAATGAAGAATAATGCTTTGAATAATACCAAATAGCAAGAAGAGAGGAGAGACAAAAAGGAGGAATGGTGAAGAAGAATGATACCAATAATATGTTATGCTTAGAAGAAGAAGAAGAAGAAGAAGAAGAAGAAGAAGAAGAAGAAAGAGGGGGGAGAAAAAAGAAGAAAAGAAGAAAATGAAGAATAATGCTTTTGAATAATACAAAAGGAGGAAATGTTGAAGAAGAATGTTTCAACAGCAAGAAGAGAAGGGAGACAAAAGGAAGAAAAATGGTGAAGAAGAATGTTTCCAATAATGTTGAATAATAATTAGAAGAAGAAGAAGAAGAAGAAGAAGAAGAAGAAGAAGAAGAAAAGAGGGGTGAAAAAGAAGAGGAAGAAGGGAATGAAGAATAATGCTTTGAATAAATAGCAAGAAGAGAGGGAGACAAAAAGGAGGAAATGTTGAAGAAGAATGTTTCAAAGAAGAAGAAGAAGAAGAAGAAAAGGAGAAGAAGAAGAAGAAGAAAGAGGGGGTGAAAAGAAGAGGAAGCAATGAAGAATAATGCTTTGAATAATACTCAATAGAAGAATGAAGAAGAATGTTTCCAATAATGTGTGCTTAGAAGAAGAAGAAGAAGAAGAAGAAGAAGAAGAAGAGAGAAGAAAGAAAGGGGGTGAAAAAGAAGAGGAAGCAATGAAGAATAATGCTTTTGAATAATACTCAATAGAAGAAGAAGAGAGGGAGACAAAAGGAGGAAATGGTGAAGAAGAATGAATTTCAATAATGTGTGCTTAGAAGAAGAAGAAGAAGAAGAAGAAGAAGAAGAAGAAAAGAAAAGAAGAAAGTGAAAAGAAGAGAAGCAATGAAGAATAATGCTTTGAATAATACTCAATAGCAAGAAGAGAGGAGACAAAAAGGAGGAAATGTTGAAGAAGAAGAATAATGAATAATAATAATGTGTTTAAGAAGAAGAAGAAGAAGAAGAAAGAAGAAGAAGAAGAAGAAGAAGAGAAAAGAAGAAGAAGGAAGAAGAATAATACCAATAGAAGAAGAAATGGAAATGTTGAAGAAGAAGAGGAAGAAGAAGAAGAAGAAGAAGAAGAAGAAGGAAAGAAGAAGGAAGAAGAAAGAGGGGTGAAAAGAAGAGAAGCAATGAAGAATAATGCTTTGAATAATACTCAATAGCAAGAAGAGAGGAGACAAAAAGGAGGAAATGTTGAAGAAGAATGTTTCCAATAATGTGTGCTTAGAAGAAGAAGAAGAAGAAGAAGAAGAAGAAGAAGAAGAAGAAGAAGAAAGAGGGGTGAAAGAAGAGGAAGCAATGAAGAATAATGCTTTGAATAATACTCAAGAGCAAGAAGAGAGGTGGAAAAAAAGGAGGAAATGTTGAAGAAGAATGTTTCCAATAATGTGTGTTAGAATGAAAAAAGGGTGGAAAGAAGAAGAAATGAAGAATAATGCTTTGAATAATACAAGGGAGACAAAAAGGAGGAAATGTTGAAGAAGAATGCTCTTACAAAGAAGAAAGAAGAAGAAAGAAGAAGAATGAAGAGAAGAAGAAGAAAGAGGGGGTGAAAAGAAGAGGAAGCAATGAAGAATAATGCTTTGAATAATACTTAGCTTAAGAAGAAGAAGAAGAAGAAAAGGAGGAAATGTTAATGCTTTGAATAATACTCAATAAAAGGAGGAAATGAAGAGAAGAAGAAGAAGAAGAAGAAGAAGAAAAAGAGGGGTGAAAAGAAGAGGAAGCAATGAAGAATAATGCTTTGAATAATACTTAGCAAGAAGAGAAGGAGACAAAAGGAGGAAATGTTGAAGAAGAATGTTTCAATAAAGAAGAAGAAGAAGAAGAAGAAGAAGAAAGAAGAAGAAGAAGAAAGAAAAAGAAGATACTTTGAAGAATAATGTTTTGAATAATACTCAATAGCAAGAAGAGAGGAAACAAAAAAGGAGGAAATGTTGAAGAAGAATGTTTCCAATAAAAGGCTTAGAAGAAGAAGAAGAAGAAGAAGAAAAGAGGAGTTGAAGAAGAATGAAGAAGAATGTTTAATAATATGTGTGTGCTTAGAAGAAGAAGAAGTTAGAAAAGAAGAAGGAAGAAAGAAGAAGAAGAAGAAGAAGGGAGAAGAAGGCAAGAAGAATGACACTCAATAGCAAGAAGAGAGGGAGACAAAAGGAGGCAATATTGAAGAAGAAGAAGAAGAAGAAGGAAGAAAGAAAGGGGGTGAAAAAGAAGAAGAATAATGGCTTGAATAATACTCAATAAAGAAAGAGGAGACAAAAGGAGGAAATGGTGAAGAAAGAAGAAGAAGAAGAAAAGAAGAAGGGTAAAAAGAAGCTTAATGCTTTGAATAATACTCAATAGCAAGAAGAGAGGGAGACAAAAAGGAGGAAATGTTGAAGAAGAATGTTTCCAATAATGTGTTAAGAAGAAGAAGAAGAAGAAGAAGAAGAAGAAAAAAAAAGAGGAAGAAGAAGAAGGAAGAGAGAAAGAAGAAAAGAAGGAAGAAGAAGGGAGACAAAAGGAGGAAATGTTGAAGAAGAATGTTTCCAAAATGTGTGCTTAGAAGAAGAAGAAGAAGAAGAAGAAGAAGAAGAAGAAGAAGAAGAAGAGGAAGGAATAATGCTTTGAATAATACTCAATAGCAAGAAGAGAGGGGAGACAAAAAGGAGGAAATGTTGAAGAAGAATTCCAATAATGTAAAAAATAGAAGAAGAAGAAGAAGAAGAAGAAGAAGAAGAAGAAGAAGAAAGAAGAAGAAGAGGAAGGGAAGACAATGCTTGAAAAAGAGAAGAAAGAACAAGCCCAATAATGTGTTTGAATAAGAATGAAGAATAATGAATAATAATAATGTAAAGAGAAAGAAGAAGAAGGAGAAGAAAAGAAGGAAGAGGGGTGAAGAAGAATAATGAATAATGAAGAAGAAGAAAGAGGGTGAAGAAATAATGCTTTCAGAAGAAGAAGAAGAAGAAGAAGGAAAAGAAGAAGAAGAAAAGAAGAAGAAGAAAGAGGGGTGAAAAGGGGAAGAACAATGCTGAAAAGAAGAGAGGGAGACAAAAAGGAGAAGAATGTTTCCAATAATGCTTTGAATAATAATAATTGAGCAAGAAGAGAGGGAGAGACAAAAGAGGCAATATGAAGAATGTTTCAATAAAGAAGAAGAAAAAAGGGAGAAAAAAAGGAGAAATGGTGAAGAAGAATGTTTCCAATAATGTGTTGCTTAAAAGAAGAAAGAAGAAGAAGAAGAAGAAGAAGAAGAAGAAGAAGAAGAAGAGGGGGTGAAAAAGGAGAGAAGAATAAGAAGAAGAAGAAGAAGAAGAAGAAGAAGGAGAAGAAAAGAGGGGGTGAAAAGAAGAGGAAGAATGAAGAAGAAGAAGAAGAAGAAGAAGAAGAAGAAGAAGAAGAAGAAGAAAGAGGGGTGAAAAGAAGAAAAAGAAGAGGAAGCAATGAAGAATAATGCTTTGAATAATAATCAATAGCAAGAAGAAGAGGAAGACAAAAGGAGAAATGTTGAAGAAGAATGGGGGTAATAATGTGCTTGAATTAGAAGAAGAAGAAAAAGGAGGAAATGAAGAAGTCTAATAATGAAAGAAGAAGAAGAAGAAGAAGAAGAAGAAGAAGAAGAAAAAGAAGGGAAGAAAATGCTTTGAATGGAAGCAATGAAGAAAAATGGAAATGTTGAATAATACCACAATAAAAAAGTGAAGAAGAAGAAGAAGAAAAGAAGAGAGGGAGAAGAAAGTAATGAAGAAATGAAGAAGAAGAAAGATTGAAGAAGAAGAAGAGAAGAAGAAGAAGAAGAATAATGCTTTGAAGAAGACTCAGAAGAAGAAGGGGAGAAAAAAGGAGAAGAAGAATGTTTCCTTATAAAAGAAGAGGAAGCAATGGTGAAAAGAAGAGAAGAATGAATAATGAAGAAGAAGAAGAAGAAAAGAGGGGTAATGAAGAATAATGCTTTGAATAATACTCAATAGCAGAAAAGAGAAGAAAGGAGGGAAGAATGTTTGCTAAAAAGAAGAAGAAGAAGAAGAAATGGAGAAAAGAAGAATGAATGAAAAGAATAAAGAAGAATAAGAAGGAATAGAAGAAGAAGAAGAAGAAGAAGGAGAAGAAGAAGAAGAAGAAAGGAGTGTGAAGAAAGAAGAAGAAGAAGAAGAAGAAGAAGAAGAAAGAAGAAGAAGAAAGAGGGGGTGAAAAGAAGAAGAAGAAGAAAGACAAAAAGGAGGAAATGGTGAAGAAGAATGTTTCCAATAATGTGTGCTTTGAGAAGAAGAAGAAGAAGAAGAAGGAGAAGAAGAAGAAGAAAGAGGGGTGAAAAGAAGAGGAAAATGAAGAATAATGCTTTGAATAATACTCAATAGCAAGAAGAGGGGAGACAAAAGAGGAAATGTTGAAGAAGAATGAAGAAGAAGAAGAAGAAGAATGAGAAGAAGAAGAAGAAGAAAAGTGAAAAGAAGAAGAAGAAGAAGGAATGAAGAAGAAGAAGAAGAAAGAGAAGAATGTTTCCAATAATGTGTAAAGTAGGAAGAAGAAGAAGGTGAAAAGAAGAGGAAGCAATGAAGAATAATGCTTTGAATAATACTCAATAGCAAGAAGAGAGGGAGACAAAAGGAGGAAATGGAAGAAGAATGTTTCAATAATGTGTGAAAGAAGAAGAAGAAGAAGAAGAAGAAGAAGAAGAAGAAGAAGAAGAAGAAGAAGAAGAAGAAAAGAAGAGGAAGCAATGAAGAATAATGCTTTGAATAATACTCAATAGCAAGAAGAGAGGGGAGACAAAAGGAGGAAATGGTGAAGAAGAATGTTTCTAATAATGTAATGCTTTGAATAATACTCAACAGAAGAAGAAGAAGAAAAAGAAGAAGAAGAAGAATGTTTTGAATAAGAAGAAGAAAGAAGAAGAAGAAGAAGAAGAAGAAGAAGAGAAGAAGAAGGGGAAGAAGAAGAAAGAGGGGGTGAAAAGAAGAGGAAGCAATGAAGAATAATGCTTTGAATAATACTCAGCAAGAAGAGAGGGAGACAAAAAGGAGGAAATGTGAAGAAGAAGAAGTTTCCAAGAAGAGAGAGGGGAGACAAAAGGAGGGGGAAATTGTGTGTGTGCTTAGAAGAAGAAGAAGAAGAAGAAGAAGAAGAAGAAGAAGAAAAGAAAATAATAATTAATAGGGGGTGAAAAGAAGAGGAAGCAATGAAGAATAATGCTTTGAATAATACTCAATAGCAAGAAGAGAGGGAGACAAAAGGAGGAAATGGTGAAGAAGAATGTTTGAAATAATGTGTGTTTAAGAAGAAGAAGAAGAAGAAGAAGAAGAAGAAGAAGAAGGAAGAAGAAGAAGAAAGGGGGGGGTGAAAAGAAGAGGAAGCAATGAAGAATAATGCTTTTGAATAATACTCAATAGCAAGAAGAGAGGGAGACAAAAAGGAAAATGGAGGAATGTTTCCAATAATGTGTGAAGAAGAAGAAGAAGAAGAAAGAAAGAAGAAGAAAGAATAATGCTGAAAGAAGAGGAAGAAAATGAAGAAGAATGAAGAAGAAGAAGAGAGGGAGACAAAAAGGAGGAAATGTTGAAGAAGAAGAAGGTAATGTGAAGAAGAAGAAGAAGAAGAAGAAGAAGGAGAAGAAAGAAGAAGAAGAAAAGAGGGGGGTGAAAAGAAGAGGAAGAATTAAAGAAGAAGAAGAAGAAGAAAAAAGAGAAGAAGAATGTTTCCAATAATGAAGAAGAAGAAGAAGAAGAAGAAGGAAAGAAGAAAGCAATGAAGAATAATGCTTTGAATAATACTCAATAGCAAGAAGAGAGAGACAAAAGGAGGAAATGTTGAAGAAGAATGTTTCCAATAATGTGTGTGCTAGAAGAAGAAGAAGAAGAAGAAGAAGAAGAAGAAGAAGGAGAAGAAGAAGAAGAAGAAAGAGGGGGTGAAAAGAAGAGGAAGCAATGAAGAATAATGCTTTAGAATAATACTCAATAAGAAGAAGAGAGGAGACAAAAAGGAGGAAATGGTGAAGAAGAATGTTTTCCAATGTGTGTGCTTAGAAGAAGAAGAAGAAGAAGAAGAAGAAGAAGGAAAGAAGAAGAAGAAGAAGAAAAAGAAAGAAAGGGGTGAAGAGGGGTGAAAGAAGAGGAAGAATGAAGAATAATGCTTTGAATAATACCACAATAGCAAGAAGAGAGGGAGACAAAAAGGAGGAAATGTTGAAGAAGAATGTTTCCAATAATGTGTAAAGAAGAAGAAGAAGAAGAAGAAGAAGAAGGAGAAGAAGAAGAAGAAGAAGAAGAAGAAGAAGAAGAAAGGGGGGTGAAAGAAGAGAAGAAGAATGAAGAAAAAATGCTTTGAATAATACTTAATAGCAAGAAGAAGAAGGAGAAGAAAAGAGGAAATGGGTGAAAAGAAGAATGCCTAAGAATAATGTGAATGTGAAGGAAAATAGAAGAAGAAGAAGAAGAAGAAGAAGAAGAAAGAAGAAGAAGAAGAAGAAGAAGAAGAAGAAGGAGAAGAAGAAGAAGAAGAAAGAGGGGGTGAAAAGAAGAGGAAGCAATGAAGAATAATGCTTTGAATAATACTCAATAGCAAGAAGAGAGGGAGACAAAAAGGAGGAAATGTTGAAGAAGAATGTTTCCAATAATGTGTGTGCTTAGAAGAAGAAGAAGAAGAAGAAGAAGAAGAAGAAGAAGAAGAAGAAGAAGAAGAAGAAAGAGGGGGTGAAAAGAAGAGGAAGCAATGAAGAATAATGCTTTGAATAATACTCAATAGCAAGAAGAGAGGGAGACAAAAAGGAGGAAATGGTGAAGAAGAATGTTTCAATAATGTAAAAAGAAAAGAAGAAGAAGAAGAAGAAGGAGAAGAAGAAGAAGAAGAAGAAGAAAGGGGGGGTGAAAAGAAGAGGAAGCAATGAAGAATAATGCTTTGAATAATACTAATAGCAAGAAGAGAGGGAGACAAAAAAGAGGAAATGGTGAAGAAGAATGTTTGAAGAATAATGTGTGTGCTTAGAAGAAGAAGAAGAAGAAGAAAAGAAGGAAGAAGAAGAAGAAGAAGAAAGAGGGGGGTGAAAAGAAGAGGAAGCAATGAAGAATAATGCTTTGAATAATACTCAATAGCAAGAAGAGGGGAGACAAAAAGGAGGAAAGAAGAAAGAAGAATGTTTCCAATAATGTGTGTGCTTAGAAGAAGAAGAAGAAGAAGAAGAAGAAGAAGAAGAAGAAGAAAGAGGGGGTGAAAAGAAGAGGAAGCAATGAAGAATAATGCTTTGAATAATACTCAATAGCAAGAAGAGAGGGAGACAAAAAGGAGGAAATGGTGAAGAAGAATGTTTCCAATAATGTGTGTGCTTAGAAGAAGAAGAAGAAGAAGAAGAAGAAGAAGAAGAAGAAGAAGAAAGAGGGGGTGAAAAGAAGAGGAAGCAATGAAGAATAATGCTTTGAATAATACTCAATAGCAAGAAAAGAGGGAGACAAAAAGGAGGAAATGGAAGAAGAAGAATGTTTCCAATAATGTGTGTGCTTAGAAGAAGAAGAAGAAGAAGAAGAAGAAGGAGAAGAAGAAGAAGAAGAAAGAGGGGGTGAAAAGAAGAGGAAGCAATGAAGAATAATGCTTTGAATAATACTCAATAGCAAGAAGAGAGGGAGACAAAAGGAGGAAATGGTGAAGAAGAATGTTTCCAATAATGTGTGTAGAGAAGAAGAAGAAGAAGAAGAAGAAGAAGAAGAAGAAGAAGAAGAAAGAGGGGGTGAAAAGAAGAGGAAGCAATGAAGAATAATGCTTTGAATAATACTCAATAGCAAGAAGAGAGGGAGACAAAAAGGAGGAAATGTTGAAGAAGAATGTTTCCAATAATGTGTGTGAAGAAGAAGAAGAAGAAGAAGAAGAAGAAGAAAGAAGAAGAAGAAGAAAAAGAGGGGTGAAAAGAAGAGGAAGCAATGAAGAATAATGCTTTGAATAATACTCAATAGCAAGAAGAGAGGGAGACAAAAAGGAGGAAATGTTGAAGAAGAATGTTTCCAATAATGTGTGTGCTTAGAAGAAGAAGAAGAAGAAGAAGAAGAAGAAGAAGAAGAAGAAGAAAGAGGGGGTGAAAAGAAGAGGAAGCAATGAAGAATAATGCTTTGAATAATACTCAATAGCAAGAAAAGAGGAGACAAAAGGAGGAAATGTTGAAGAAGTTTCCAATAATGTGTGTGCTTAGAAGAAGAAGAAGAAGAAGGAGAAGAAGAAGAATAAGAAAGAGGGGTGAAAAGAAGAGGAAGCAATGAAGAATAATGCTTTGAATAATACTCAATAGCAAGAAGAGAGGGAGACAAAAAGGAGGAAATGGTGAAGAAGAATGTTTCCAATAATGTGTGTGCTTAGAAGAAGAAGAAGAAGAAGAAGAAGAAGAAGAAGAAGAAGAAGAAGAAGAAAGAGGGGGTGAAAAGAAGAGGAAGCAATGAAGAATAATGCTTTGAATAATACTCAATAGCAAGAAGAGAGGGAGACAAAAAGGAGGAAATGTTGAAGAAGAATGTTTCCAATAATGTGTAATGCTAGAAGAAGAAGAAGAAGAAGAAGAAGAAGAAGAAGAAGAAGAAGAAGAAAGAGGGGGAAAAGAAGAGGAAAAAGAAGAGGAAATGAAGAATAATGCTTTGAATAATACTCAATAGCAAGAAGAGAGGGAGACAAAAAGGAGGAAATGTTGAAGAAGAATGTTTCCAATAATGTGTGTGCTTAGAAGAAGAAGAAGAAGAAGAAGAAGAAGAAGAAGAAGAAGAAAGAGGGGGTGAAAAGAAGAGGAAGCAATGAAGAATAATGCTTTGAATAATACTCAATAGCAAGAAGAGAGGGAGACAAAAAGGAGGCAATGTTGAAGAAGAATGTTTAATAATGTGTGTAATACTCACAGCTTAGAAGAAGAAGAAGAAGAAGAAGAAGAAGGAGAAGAAGAAGAAGAAAGAGGGGGTGAAAAGAAGAGGAAGCAATGAAGAATAATGCTTTGAATAATACTCAATAGCAAGAAGAGGGAGACAAAAGGAGGAAATGTTGAAGAAGAATGTTTCCAATAATGTGTGAAGAAGAAGGAAAAGAGAAGAAGAAGAAGAAGAAGAAGAAGAAGAAGAAGAAAAGAGGGGAAGAAGAATGAAAAGAAGAGGAAGCAATGAAGAATAATGCTTTGAATAATACTCAATAGCAAGAAGAGAGGGAGACAAAAAGAGGAAATGGTGAAGAAGAATGTTTCAATAATGTGTGTGCTTAGGAAGAAGAAGAAGAAAATGAAGAAGAAGAAGAAGAAGAATAAGAAAGAGGGGTGAAAAGAAGAGGAAGCAATGAAGAATAATGCTTTGAATAATACTCAATAGCAAGAAGAGAGGGAGACAAAAAGGAGGAAATGGTGAAGAAGAATGTTTCCAATAATGTGTGTGCTTAGAAGAAGAAGAAGAAGAAGAAGAAGAAGAAGAAAGAGGGGGTGAAAAGAAGAGGAAGCAATGAAGAATAATGCTTTGAATAATACTCAATAGCAAGAAGAGAGGGAGACAAAAAGGAGGAAATGGTGAAGAAGAATGTTTCCAATAATGTGTGCTTAGAAGAAGAAGAAGGAGAAGAAGAAGAAGAAGAAGAAGAAAAGAAAGAAGAAAGGGGGCTGAAAAGAAGAGGAAGCAATGAAGAATAATGCTTTGAATAATACTCAATAGCAAGAAGAGAGGGAGACAAAAGGAGGAAATGGTGAAGAAGAATGTTTCCAATAATGTGTGTGCTTAGAAGAAGAAGAAGGAGAAGAAGAAGAAGAAGAAGAAGAAAGAAAAGAAGAGGAAGCAATGAAGAATAATGCTTGAATAATACTCAATAGCAAGAAGAGAGGGACAAAAAGGAGGAAATGGTGAAGAAGAATAATGTTTCCAATAATGTGTGTGCTTAGAAGAAGAAGAAGGAGAAGAAGAAGAAGAAGAAGAAGAAGAAGAAGAAAAGAGGGGGTGAAAAAGAGGAAGCAATGAAGAATAATGCTTTGAATAATACTCAATAGCAAGAAAAGAGGGAGACAAAAGGAGGAAATGGTGAAGAAGAATGTTTCCAATAATGTGTGTGCTTAGAAGAAGAAGAAGAAGAAGAAGAAGAAGAAGAAGAAGAAGAAAGAAGAAAGAGGGGGTGAAAAGAAGAGGAAGCAATGAAGAATAATGCTTTGAATAATACTCAATAGCAAGAAGAGAGGGAGACAAAAAGGAGGAAATGTTGAAGAAGAATGTTTCCAATAATGTGTGTGCTTAGAAGAAGAAGAAGAAGAAGAAGAAGAAGGAGAAGAAGAAGAATAAGAAAGAGGGGTGAAAAGAAGAGGAAGCAATGAAGAATAATGCTTTGAATAATACTCAATAGCAAGAAAAGAGGGAGACAAAAAGGAGGAAATGGTGAAGAAGAATGTTTCCAATAATGTGTGTGCTTAGAAGAAGAAGAAGAAGAAGAAGAAGAAGAAAAGAAGAAAAAGAAAAAGAAGAGGAAGAATGAAGAATAATGCTTTGAATAATACCAATAGAAGAAGAGGAGAAACAAAAGGAAAATGAAGAAGAATAAAGAAGAAGAAGAAGAAGAAGAAGAAGAAGAAGAAGAAAAGGGGGTGAAAAAAAGGAAGCAATGAAGAATAATGCTTTGAATAATACTCAATAGCAAGAAGAGAGGGAGACAAAAAGGAGGAAATGGTGAAGAAGAATGTTTCCAATAATGTGTGTGCTTAGAAGAAGAAGAAGAAGAAGAAGAAGAAGAAGAAGAAGAACAACAACAACAACAACAACAACAACAATATGTATTTATAAGAAAAGCTGATGAAGACAAAGAATCGAAGAAAATAAAATAAAAAATCAGGAATCACAAATAAGTCTACTTATGGTGATAACTTTAACATCATACCAAATAGAAAATAAAAACTCACAAAGCGCCTTAAGTTAAGCGTATATTCTGGAGCAAGAAAAGTTTGAAGAAGGATAAAAGGAGCCATTTGCCGTGAAAGTTTGCAAGGAGCGTGTAATTCAAGATACGCTTCAACGAATTGCTTAAGTTTTAATCTGACTTACTTTCTATCTATATATTTATCCTAGATTTTTGCGCGTGCATCTCTCAAGTGAACATTGGGTTCGTTTCCCCTTTTAGTTTTTGCGTGAGTAAAAAGTTTATGTGGGCCTAAAAAAGCGTTCTGAGAATACCATCAAAAGAATATATAAGTGATGAGGTAGTTTTAGTGAAACTCGAAGCAAAAAGGACACATTTACTTAAAAATCAGAAAGAGTTGAAATTTCAAGGATACATAAGTGGTGCCTTGAAAACTGTATATACTCACAAATCACATTGAAGTCAAGAGATACAAAGGGGAGCAGCTCAATACTGGAGTAAATGAATGGAATCGGGAGAGGAAGTAAAAAGACAAACATTGTTAAGAACTACGAAATATAGGAAGTTGTGGAGGGCAATTACCACCCATGTTCTGAAGTGACACGGCGTTGAAGAACAGGAGGAGGAGCAGAAAGTGTTTATTTAATAAAATATGTACATTGTTCTTATTAATATATTTATTAAGCAGAGGCAGCAGCCTACCAGCTTATGCAAATGGATGGTGTGGGAATGATTGCAAAACGCCAAACAAGAGATACGAACGATAGGAAGTAATGATCACCAACTTCCTTAAAAGAAATGATACAAAAAAGAAAATGGCACAGAACAAATCAAGGAATATTAGCACAAAATGTTTTCCTTATCCAAGCACTGATTCAACACGGTTTTGGTTCTCTTATTCTGTTTCTTCTATGTGCCGTATCTCTTCAGTACATAAGAGATCATGGCTCTTCACTATATCCTATGCCTTTGTGTCACTTAACGGTGTTTCTCTATTTGCCAAGCGACCGCCCCACCCGTTATTATTCAGGTAGGTGATCCACTGCCTTCCTCTTCTATTCCATACGATGTCATGTGACGTTTAAATTTTTCAAAGTTTTCCTCCATCTTTATATGGCCAAGAAATTCCAATGTCGCTTTCTGATTCTGAGTATAAGAGTTCTTTTTGTTGTTACCATTTTCTTTAAGACGTCCTCGTTGTTTACTCATTCTGACCATGGGATTCTCACTATCCTTCTGCCGAGACACATTTGTTTGTTGCCTTCAGTTTTATCTTCATCTGTAAGGATATTGTCCAACATCCCCTACCATAGAAGAGGATTGATATCACATAGCAATCCATAATCTTTTTCTTCTAAAATTTTCTCTAGTTCCGAAGTACATTGTTTATATTTATCTTGTATCTCTATGTTTTTAGTGTGATTTAACAGTAAAAGAGTTCTTCTTCGGCTGAGCTTATAATTGTACTAATGTATTAAAGGAAGTCATGAAGCAATTTCTCCCTACATTTTATTACATTATCAGATGTAACGAACAGGGAATGCTAGTAACGCGACTCTTGAATCGTAATAGCTTAGCATTTTATGTATTTCAACATTACGTTGTAGGCGAGTGGCTACAGACGCCTGCCGTCTGATAGTGGACCCTACATTCTCTCGCTGCGATTTGTGAAAGACTGTCCAATCATTTCTGAAGTGCTTATTGATATATCCATCTGTCTAACATCCCACGCTTGCACAACCTGATGCAGTTGGCAGGTCATGTACTTCATGCATTCAGACCTGCACCTGCCTTCCCTTGACCTTCTGGTATGAATTCTTATTGCAATATCTATTCCGTCATAATATCACACAAACAACAACGACAACAACAACAACAATAATAATACATCGGTACAATCGATATTATAAAGTGTGCGATGTGTAAATTGTCGCCAATTCATATTCTTAGTTTCTTGCATGTGCGTTGTTTGTTTTGGAGTTTGTCAACTGCACATTATAGTTCGTCTGTGAGAAAAAGAGCACCATGATGCAGTTCACTGCGCCAGAAATTTGGAAACGGCATGATGAGCGTTTGGGTGTCAATCTGTGGAAAGTGCAGAGGATTCGGAATGAGTTGGATGATATATCCAGTCAACCTTATGCCCACTTTCATCTTCACACAGGGCCCCCGGACACAATAAGGAGGCCTACATCACGTGCGATGAGGAGGTAGTGTTGCCCTGGGTCAAGAGGGTGGCTGCTGGAAGACCCTATCTGGCAACAGGACTCTGCACAATGCCACACAAGCAGGAGAACCCAGTCATGGCTGTCAGACAATATCTGCGACCATATCACTCTTTAGGTCTAGCCACCTAACTTCCTAGACTACAAACGATTATTATGTGTGGGGCGTAGTTGAAATACAAAAGATGAAATCGAGGCAGGGATTTGGGAAGCATTCACCAACTTACACAAGGAGACCGTCCAGAAAAAGTGCAGAAGATTCTGAAGTCGTCTGGATGCCAATGGCGATTTTATTGAATAAATTTATTCTTTATTATTTCAAACATATTTTTGTGTAAGTTTGCTAATCATATCTGTGTAAATGCAATGCCAGTCTTATTTTCATTTTTGTTTTTTTTTTTTTTGCATAATTTATACGACAATTTATCCATCGCGTCCTGTAGTCATTGATCTTGTCAATGCCTTGTATATATTTATATGCTTTGCCATGGTGCATTCCGTTTTAAATTCAGAGTTGTCCTTTTCTAGAATAGTTACCAATCACGGCCAGCGATTTCAGTCTTACCTGTCATTTAACCCATTAGCAGGTGCCGAAGACAAGATTCAGATGACCACACAGTCTAATCATGGAAAAAATCTCATTAGTATGTCCAAACCGTCTATATATAAAAAAAGAGAATTGTCTGCCAACATCACTACTGAAAGACTCTGAGGATATATTTGCCAACTCGGTCAGTTTCAACAAAAATGTCTCATCATTCAGATGCCAACAATTTGCATTTCAGCAAAAAGATTTCTGTATTTAGATGATAATGTGTCCATCTAAGCGACAAGATCTCAAGATTTATCACTTTGGCTGCTTGGTTGTATCTTTTAAGCGGTATATCAACACATATGTGTTTAATGTCGAAATAGAAATATTTTGTAAGCATGTTACTGTAAGCAATGACAACCTGAATCCGGTTTTCATTAGAAAAACCTAAACGTTTCTCAAGGGTAATTGTCCGAAAATTAATATAACGAACGCATTTAGAAATTAAACTTGGTTCACTGATTTCACATTCTGAGTCGCTAACCCTTGCAGCACCTGTACATCCTTTATTACATAAATTGTGGTTGATGGAGAAATGGCCGCATAAGAGATCAGCTGAAATTATAAATGCCTTGAGGTTAGAGGCTGCTATCAATCCATTGCTAAAGATGCTAGCAAAATGGACGCTTCCATGAGCAGTTCCAGAAAGTAACTGACTTCTCTTACGTTGCCCTATATTTACAAAACCCAGTTCAAACCAAAAATGTCGTATTGATACCATATATGAGCTACGAAAGCTGCGCAATCCTTACTTTCAGAAGAAATCAACTTACCTTCAAAATGGTTGACTGCTTGCACCTGCCGATGCCATTCGCTCCAAGACAGAAAGAAAAACAGGGCAAACTTATTGGAATAGCCAGAAGTTCTACCTATAGTGTTAATGGAATATCCCGGACTTGCTGGTTATGGTGTTGATGGAATAGCCCTGATGTGCTACCTACAGTCTTCATGGAATAGCCTGGATGTGCTACCTACGGTGTTGATGGAATAGCCTCGATGTGCTACCTACGGTGTTGATGGAATAGCCTGGATGTGCTTGCTACGGTGGTGATGAAATATCCAGGATGTGCTACTTACGGTGTTGATGGAATAGCCCAGATATGCTATCTCTGGTGTTGATGGAATAACCCGGATGTTCTACCTATGGTGTTGTTGAAATAGCCCAGATATGCTATCTAGATATGGAATATCCCGAATGTCCTGGTAACGGTGTTGATGGAATATCCCGGATGTCCTCGTTACGGTATTGATGGAATATCCCGGATGTTCTACCTACGGCGTTGAAGGTATATGTTAATGTAGAATTTACTATTAAATCTAGCCATTTCAACCGTAAAATAATGAGATCTTGCCGCCAATCTAGTGCTGTGCTTTAATACATAAAGTCTCGGTACCATACAGGAAAGTTCAACAAGAACAATTGTCATTAAATATTTATAGAAATTCAGGGGAAAGCTACATTACGGCGGTGAGAAAAAGGCTGAAGCCGGGATGCCAGGTCAGTACCAATGTTATTTCAGATTCTTCTTTGAACTTTATCAATAATCTCTAAATATATACCAGGAGCATCAGAACAGATTCAAAGAAAGGCCGAATGGTCGATTTATATTTATGTACGATAGTTTCTGGTGAGAAAAATTATCTCGCACGACACATGCAAGCAACTTTCCTTGCAGCGAACCTAGAAACTGATTCAATATAATCTTTCCACCTCTCGGCCGGCAAAAAACGTTTGTCCGAGAAGGTAAAATGAGTCGCTCTATTGGAGGTTAGCATGGACCATGCTTATAGAAGGTAAAAAGGGTTATCGCAGAAGATTAAAGTCGTTGTCTGTCATTTGCAAGTAGTCATCTAGATTTTGGCACTCCGATCTGTGGCTGTAGCGGCCACAATTCTGAACCATGTGATTGCGCTTAGCTTGTGGTCCTGTTCATATGTGGAGTTAGACAATGCCTTTATAGCTGTCAAATATTTGTGTGGCATCCTTAATTATTGTACTAATATCTGATCATAGTGTAGGGTACCTCAACGTACAGTCTGCTGCAGCACTGAGTTTGGCAGGGAGATGCTTTATGCAGAATTTATACATCAGGGACCTTTCCTTGAGGCCTGAATA